TAGAATTTAAATAAAAAAAAGTTCATTGAATTTGATCTTGTTGATACTGAGATATCATTGCTCAAAGCTTAGAGAAAATTCTGTATAGCTTATTTTGATAGATATTTTAAATTTTTTTTAAAAGTTTGAACAAAGATAACTTAGCAACTGCTAAGTCAATTTTAATAAATCTTTTTTTATTTGAATTCTATAAATTATAAAATTCAAATAAAAAAAAAGTTTATCAAATTTAGCTTTGTAGTTGCTGAGATATCTTTGTTCAAAGTTAAAGAAAACATTTAATCTGTAAAAAAGATAGTTATATTAATCTTGTATGGGCATATTAGCATAAAATTGTATAAATTATATGCATGCATACATTTATATGCATGGTGCCTATCTCTAGTTTTGACTACTAATATAAGACATGGAAAAAGGAACCTTAAGCCAGCAGCTATTATTTAAAGATAGTTCTTATACGCTACCTTGCTAATAGCTTTAGAGTTTATCACTTACTGCAAGTATAGCACTTGCTGTTTAAAAGTAGTTCTTATATGCTACTTGCCGACAAGCCCAAAGTTTATCACTCACTGAAAAGACTAAGTACTGTGCAAGCTCTGGTGTTACTGTTGATTTTAGTAAAAAGAAAAAATTCACACTCTTTTAAGTGATTTCAAGTATTTTTTCTTTCTTTTGAAATTTTGCTAATCTTATCAAAATTTTTGACAAAAAGTGGGCAATTCAGCTTACCCCCTCCAAAAGATCAGCATTGTTTATACTTACTTAATTCGGACGAACTTAGTTAAATGCAACCATGTGTTTTGTTTATTTGTAATCACATCACTACAGTACAGAGAAAAGATCATTGCCCTTGTTTAGAAAATACCTGACTTGAGTCAGTGCACAGAACAAGTTCCAAAATTAAACTGAAGGTTTTACAATTGAGATATAGTAATTAGTTGCAAATATTATATAATTTTTATCCTTATACCTGGCACAGGCTATAATAGTGTATTATGGCTATCTTTCTTTTTTTTCGCTTTTTTTATCTTTGTTCATTTATGTTAAATCATTTTAGAATTTAATTTCTTGTTTGTGTTTTTTTTTATCACTATGAGATGTTTTTTTTCTAAAATATTTATATCTTTCATAAACATGGCTTTATTTTTTTTACTTTTATGTATAAATAAGGGTTTAATTATGTTGCTGGACTTTGGTAGAAAAAGTCTGAAAGAAGAGAGAAGTGGTCATGATGAGTAGTAGGTACTATCTGTTGAGATCCAGGTCATATCTAATTGTAGGAGGGTCCAGAAAAAGGAGAATCTTATTATAGCAGGTTGAATATAGATACCAAGTTGGTAACGGATTAGTTGTAACTTGTAATTTAGAAAACACTTTGGGCTATACACTTGTTATTTAGAGATATTTCTTATAAGCTATCTGCTAACAAGTTTAGAGTTTATTACTTATCTTCTAAAATGCCCGATTGTAAAATTTTACATATTCTAAATAAGTTGTACAAAGCCTAATAAAGTTAAGGCATAACTGCTGAATTTAAATAAAAAAAATAAAAAAAAATCATTAAAATTGGTTTAATATATAAAAAGTTATAAGTAATTTAATTTAATTATTTTTTATAATATTTTTACTATGTTTTTATTATATTTTACCATATAAAATATCAGGAATAATACTGAAATTGGCTAATGCTAAATTTAGGGTCTCTATTTAAATCTATAATACCTACTAAAATTTATATATACTTTTTTACTAACAACTCTATCCTCAAACCCTAACCTAACTCTAAAAAAAAACCCTAACGAAAAGGCCCGAAAATTTTTTAAAATTTTATAATAAAATAAGTTAAAATTTTAGCATCATCCGATTTCAGCATCATCCCCGATATAAAATAAGAAAAAAAATTACTATTTTTGAACTTGTATCACTTTAAAACAGGTTTATTTAAACTATTTTAAAAAATTATTATTTATTTTTTTTAATTATTTTAAAATCAAATCCAGATCTAAAATATTGCTTTAATATTCAAATATATTTTGTCAAAATTTAAATAAATTTGGTTAAATAATTAATTCAAAATAATTATTTTGTAAATGCTAAATTTAATATAATAGCAATACAGATATCTATTAATAAAAAAAATCTTGAAGAGTATTATATAGTATTTATATTTTTAGTTTATAAATTTGTTTGCTTTTATTTCTAATATAACTAATTTTTTATATTTACAAATAACTAATATACCCGAAATAATCAAAAGAATACTACTTTAGTAGTAAGTATTTAAACAGTTGATTTTTAGTATAGATAGCTAATATAAAAATATTATCCCTTAAACTGTAGACAATTCTAGACAAATTTGCCTGGAAAATTGTTATAAATTTGTTTATAATTTACTTTTTTTAAAATTTAAAATATTTTAATAAAATTTTTTTTGATAATATTTAAAAATAAAGATTATATTATAGTAATATTTAATTTTATATTATAAAAAAAAAAGTTTAAATAAAGTAGTTGTATAATAAGTCTTTTCATATTCAAGTAGTTTTAGGTTTAGTTTTAGCTATATTCACATTTCAGTAATAAAAAGAAGAAAAACGGTTTGATCTTGGTCCCCATCTTTCTTAACTTCTTTCTCTAAATTTATTTCTATTTCTTTAAGAATGGTAATTTTTATTTCTAGACCTACTTCAACTTTTACTTCGATTTTTATCATTTCTATAACTTTGATTATCTCATTTTCTATAATATAAAGATTGGAAATTTCGATCTTGATAATAATTTCTATTTTTTTTATTTCTTTGATTATCACTTTTTTTTTTGTAGTAGTTAGCAATATAATAACCAGAGTTTTTACAGTAAAAACATCATGCTTTACTTTTGTTCAAAATAGGTTTACTTTTAGCAGTATAAGTGGGTTTCTGGGGTTGTTACACTTGTTGTTGTTGGCTAAATTAATACTCAACTTAGCAATTTGGTTGATAAGTTGGGCAATAACATCTTTAGTATCAGTTTCAGTAGTTATAAATTTTTCTGTTTTCCAGAATCTTGCTGTTTCAATAGCAGCAGTTAAATCAGCGGGGGCAGAAACTTGTATAGGTATCCCTTAATATGTAGACCAACGCAGACAAATTTGCCTGTGTTTTTGCACTTTTTTAGAGCTGTGGCTAGTACTATAAGATAAGTACTAGCTCTTTTTTTCTTTTCCCTGTTATTTCTTGTTGTTTTTCATGTGTTACTAGTATTTCCATTCTTTCTTGCAAGTTTTGTGCTTCGCCGAAATTGAATCTTGGAATTATAATGGATTTTAGAGGCATGGCTAATACTATAAGATAAGTACTAGCTTTTTTTGTTATTGGTGTTTCTTGTTGTTTTTTGTATATTATTAATA